TTGAATTGTAGCTTCCAAAGAACTAATGCTAGCTGTAGATGAAGCTCCTTTGCTGGTATTATGTCATGGTATAACATTTTGGTAGCCTTGAGATTCAGTGTGATTCTGCTGACGAGTGGATTGACTGTCATTATGGGCTCCTTGATTTCTCCATGAGAAATTTGGGTGTTTCCGCCATTCTGCATTATAAGTGTTAGAATAAGGATTATTATCTCCTCGATTGAAATTACCTATAAAGTTGATAGACTCATGGTTTGTTGGGCATTCTCTCTCGTGGTAATTGCCTTGTCATAACTGACATGTCAAGCTAGATGCTTTCACTTCCTTTACCTCAGTGAAGCGTTGTAAAATTTTTAGTGTATTATTAATAACTGAGAGTTGAGTGGACACCGAGTCCTTTGTATATAACTAGAATGTTCTAGGTGCTTTCCTCCCACTCCCAAGCCTTGAGGATGGAAATTGATAGTCATTATTGGCAATTCTATCCAAAATAGAAAACACCTCAGTAGGTGATTTATCTAGCAATGTCCCATTTGTTGAGGGATCAAGCATTATCCTCGTGGGTGCATTGACTTGATTATAAAACATAACTACTTGAGTCCAATCGTGAAAACCATGATTTGAACACTTTCAAAGAAAACTCTTGTAATGATCCCAACACTCATACATAGATTCAACGTCACCCTGGCGAAAGGATGCTATGTCATTCCTTAGCTGAGTGTTCATGTTCAGTGGGTTATATCGCAATAAAAAACTCTACAAAGATCGACCCATGATTCCATCGAACCTAATGGAACACCACTCAACCAAGGCCTTGCTTAGTCACACAAAGAATATGGAAACATCTTTAATTTCAGCACATCCTCGTGCATTCCTTCTTGGTAGAAAGAATCACAAACCTCCAAAAAATTGAGAATATAATGCCTGGCATCTTCATTTGGCATGCCCCCAAACTGCCCTATGGAATTTAACATATTAAACATGAATGATTTAAGCTCAAAATGTGCAGCTTGAATTTCGGGTGTCACTATTCCATGATTCATATCATCTAGCATCGGATTTAAATGATCATGAATAATACGAGGTGTATCAGCATGTCCAACATTTTGTAATGTCCCGGCATTCTGATTTCTGTTATCTTGACCAATGCCCTGATTTTCAATTTGATACATATTTTCTCGAGCACGTTGAGCATGTCTCCTTTGTATAAAGTGTCTTTTAATCTCAGGTTCTATTGGTTCCAATGGCTCGTAAAAATGTCTTCTAAGCATACACTAAATAAACTTGAAAAAGAATAAAGCAAAAATATCAAGTAAACTGTACAAAAATAAAGAAGCAAAAATAAAATGCATTGGCAAAACTATTTAACTTCACGCTACCAATCCCCGGTAACGACGCCAAAAACTTGTTACGTGTTGTGAGTACTATAAAATTATATGCAAATATTGTGTAAGTGTACACAATCGTTCAAGTAATAAAGTAATAAGCGAGTATTGTCTCCACGGGGAATTATGGAAATTATAAAGTTTAACCAAAACAAGCACTACTATATCTAAGTGTAGTTAATAATGATATGTACCAAAAGAGAATGACATGACAATGAAAAATATATGTTGAAGGATATGGATTGATATTATGACGTGGTAGAAAATGAAAATGTAGTGGCAAGAGCATATTATAATGATGAAAATTATAGAAATGCCGAGACAATGAAAAACGGTAAGAACAATAAATAAATGATAGTTTGATAATCCTCACACAACAAGCTGCCTAGGGGAATGAGTGGTAGGGATTGATTTAAGAATGCTAAAACTTATCTCTCAAGCAGATTTAATATATCTCAGCTTCACTTGCTTGACAAGGTTTTCTAAAAATGCTTCTGCTATCTCTAGTCAAAGGAACATAATAAATAGAATGCCATGACATCTCATCTTAGTCTCAACTATGGCAGTCTACGCTATAGATAAAAACTACCCCTCTTAGTAATTGAAATCCTATCTTAGTCTCTCCCAAGCACTAAGGGATTAGGATATAGTATTACTATGTTCGGTTTAAGCTTAAGAAAGTACTACACCCTACTGCTTATGCGAATCTTACTTGTGTTTCTCTCGAATCCTACAAGTATTAATGACCAATTTTCTCTCGAACACCTAGTCTTCATATAAGTAATGAACACTATTATGCCTTCTACAAACTTAGAAGATTAAACATTCATAAACAAAACAAGTAAATGCAAAAGATAAATTTAAATCTACCATTAAAAAATTAAGCATCCATAAAATCAACCCCACCAAATAAGGTTAGTTCACGGTGGGGTTCGAATCATCCATGAAAGAAAACATGAAAATCATTCGTTCCAACAACCCAATATCAAATGAAAAATAACAACCAAGGAGATGGGAGAAGAACCCTTCGATGTGCACAGTCGGAGCTCTCCTCTAGGATGCGTAGCTCGCCACTCCTTGGAGCTGGTTAATGGATGAACACCATTAAGAGAGTAGAAGGAATGATACGATGGAGAAGGTGAAGAAAATCTAGCTGAAGATGGTGAATATGTCCTTTATTCTCTCTCTTATAAAAGGTTTATTAAATAATAAAAAAAATATCCAAGGGTATTAATGGGCTTTAACACTCTAAATATACAAGGGTATTAATGGACTTTAACACTCCAAATAGCCATCATACCCCTAGAGTTACTCCTTTGGCATGAGTTTTATCCTTCCAGGTGGTAGTGGTCCCCAATAGGCGGTTATAACCATCAGACACGTTCCTTGCCATCTGTCATTTTATAAAAAATATATGTTTGTCTTTTTCTGCACCAGAAATGCCAAGGCATTTCTATCTGCTTCAGCAATGTGTGATGTCACAACATTCCTTCCCAATTCAACCTTTTTCTTGTTATTTTCTACACAACATAAACAACCACACCTTTCCCTCATACAACACCTTTATAGGATAAAATAACAAAACCACCACTAATGGAACTATATGCATATAAAATGACCTAAATGGGATTTTAAACAAAACAATAACTTAAGTGAAAAAGGCCTTAAAAGTAACCTTTTTAGGGAGTTATCAGTAATTTTAATAGGCCACAACAAAACATTTTTGAATACTCAAGTGTGCAGCATCAACAGATGCCCTAGCAAAATAACAATAAAGGTAATGCATCTGCGTCAAATTCTAACTCCCTTGAAGCTTCACTGTAAGAATTTATGGCCTTGACAAAGACTTTGAAACACGAACACTCATTGACAATCAAGAATAAAGGTGATTTGTTGCAAAGCCAAGCAACTCTATTACAAAGCCAAGCATCTCTATTACAAAGACATAGTTCATCCTTGAGAGCGTTAGAAAATCAAGTGGGTCAAATTGCCACGACAATACACTCTCACCCACAAGAAAGTCTCTTTAGTGATACTGAAGTCACTAAGCCTCATGGAAAGGAGCAATGCAGTGCGCTTACACTTAGGAGTGGTACCCAAATTAATCTTGATGATAAGTTTGGGGGAAATAATTGAGAAATTTAACACCAAAGCACTACACAGAAAGAACCAGAAGGTCAAGCTGATGAAGCTGAACACGAAGACTTGTTTGAGGAAAATGAAAAGGACAAGGGGTTGATAAGTCAACCCAATGATGGTGGAAAATTTATTGTCAAGGCAAAAGTTTTACCCCCACATGCACCAGATGAAATCATACCTCCACCGCCTTTCCCTCAGCGGTTGAAGAAGCATAATGATGAGATCTAGTTCAAAAAGTTAGTTGATTTCCTTGATAAGCTGTACATCAATGTCCCACTACTCAAAGCTGTTGATCAGATGCCTTCTTACGCCAAGTTCGTAGAAGACATTATCACGAAGAAGAGGAAAGTGGAAAGAATTGAAAATTTTGCCACGACAATAGAATATTGTTCATCATTATGTGAACTTCCACCGAAGCAAAAAGTTCTTGGAAGTTTTGTTATACCTTGCTCTATCGGTGATAAGTATGTTGGGAGAGCCCTTTGTGACTTGGGGTCAAGCATAAACCTGATGCCCAAGTCTATATTTTTGAAACTTGGAATAGACAATGCTCATCCAACCACCGTAATTTTACAACTGGCGGACCAATCGCATATTCGACCCGAGGGAAAAATTGAAGATGTGATAGTTAAAGTGGACAAGTTTGTCTTTCCAGCGGATTTCCTTATTTTAGACTGTGAGATGAAAACAAACCTATTATTCTTGGGCATCCCTTCTTAGCGACAGGGTGCATCTTAATAGATTACGAGATGGGAGAGTTTACGATGAGGGTAGATGGTCAAAGTGTCACTATCAATGTCTTCAACATTCTTAAGTATGTTGATGATTCTGAAGAATGCCATTGCAATGTAGATATGGAGCCTAATAAAGAATATGAGATAGATATTTGTGGTCAATGCAAAATTTTACATCTAGACGAAAAAGATTCTTTGTGCAAAGATAACTTTGCCCATATTCAGAAGTGTAAAATATTTTCCTAACGGTATTTTACAGCCAGAGAGAAATAATAATTTTGGCCCAGGCGAATTTTTTCAGAATGAGGTAGGCAAAATTAGTTACTCAGGCAAAATTTCTCCGACTAAAGCAAAAGTAGGATATACTAAAGATAGAACAAATGAAGAGTATGAGCATTATTCATTAGAGGAGGAACAATCTAGTTTACTTCAAACTAGACTAGGTATGAGATTCGAACCCCTTGATTTCAATGAATTTATTCATCCAAAACCTTCATTACAACATGTGCCTACCTTAGAACTCAAACTTTTACCATCACATTTGAAATACATTTATCTAGGGAGTTACAATACTTTACCGGTTATAATTTCTGCTAATCTAACCCTAGAGCAAGAGGGTAGTTTGTTGAATATTTTTTCATAGCACAAAAAAGCTCCCGGGTGGACTATGACAAAGTTGAAGGGAATTAACCCTACCATATGCATGCACAAGAACTAGCTTGACGAGTTTCATAGCTATTCTATGGAACCTCAAAGGAGACTTAATCATATAATGAAGAAAGTGGTAATGAAGAAAATCATAAAATGGCTCGATGCTAGGGTAATCTATCCCATATTCGATAGCTCTTGGGTTAGTCTGGTTCAATGCGTGCCGAAGAAAGGTGGAGTGATTGTGGTAAAGAATGAAAATGAAGAGCATTTGACTACAAGAACCGTCACATGCTGGTGGATTTGTATGGATTACAAGAAACTAAACAAGGCGACAAAGAAAGACCACTTCCTCTTCCTTTCATTGATAAGATGCTTGATCGGTTACCAGGCAAGGCATTTTACTATTTCCTTGACAGATATTCTGGATATCGCCATATCACCTGAAGATTAGGAGAATACCACATTCACCTGCCCATATGGCACATATGCCTTTCGGAGAATGCCGTTCGGGCTATGTAATGCCCCGGCAACTTTTCAGAGATGTATGGTGGCCATTTTCTCCAACATGGTGAAAGATTTTTTGAAAATATTCATGGATGATTTTTCCGTCTCCGGAGATGACTTTGATCGATGCCTCGATAATCTATCTAAAATATTGAAGCGATGTAAGGAGTCCAACCTTGTGCTAAACTGGTAGAAATGTCACTTTATGGTGACATAAGGAATTGTGTTGGGACACAAAATTTCATGCCAAGGCATCGAGGTTGACAAAGCCAAAGTTGAAGGGCATCAGGAGTTTCCTAGGACATGCAAGATTCTACAGACGTTTCATCAAGGATTTTTCAAAGATTTCAAAGCCTTTGTGTCAGTTATTGCAACAAAACCAACAGTTCGTGTTCAATGACGAATGTCTCAATGCATTCACTAATATGAAGCAAAAACCTGCCTTGGCACCAATTATTATTCCACCTGATTGGGACGCCCCTTTCGAGCTGATGTACGACGCTAGTGACTATGCAGTAGGGACAATACTAGGGCAAAAAAAAGGTAAAAGCTTCCATGTCATCTACTATGCTAGACGTACCCTTAATGATACGAAACTAAATTACACCACCACTGAATAAAAATTGCTTGTTATTGTATTTGGCTTTGATAAGTTTATGGCATACCTTATAGGAACTAAGGTCATAATACATACAAATCACTCTTCCATTAAGTACATAGTTAATAAAAAGGATGTCAATCCTAGACTTATTAGATGGATATTATTGCTGCAAGAATTGGATTTAGAGGTGAAGGATAAGAAGGGTATTGAAAAAAATAGCAGATCACTTATATAGGCTAGAGAATGATAACATTTGTCATTACATGAAAGAAATTCAAGAGGATTTCCTTGATGAGAAAATATTATTTTTTATGGCAGTGTCGTGGTATGATAGAGTAAAGTTTCTTGTTAGTAGTATTATGCCTTCAGATTTATATAGCCAGAGCATGAAAAAGTTCAGACATGACGTACGCCATTATTACTGTGATGAACTGTTCCTATTTAAACAATGTGGAGACCAAATAATCCATAAATACATCCCCGAAGAAGAACAAAAAGAGATTCTATTTCATTGCCATACATCCCCGTGTAGAGGGCATTTTGGTAGAATAAAGACTGCTGCGAAGGTCCTCCAATCTGGCTTCTATTGTCCCACCTTATTCAAGGATGCACACAACTTCTATAAGTCATGTGATCACTGCCAACTCACTAGGAATATATCAAAGAGGAATGAGATGCCATGGCAAAATATTTTGGAGGTCGAACTCTTCAATGTATGCGGAATTGATTTTTTGGGACCTTTTCCAGCATCTTTTGGTGATTTGTACATTCTCTTGGATGTGGACTATGTGTCCAAATGGGTGGAAGCCGTGGAAACACCTTGCAATGACTCCAAGACTGTGTTGAAGTTCTTACATAAAAATATATTCACACGTTTTGGAGCACTAAGAGCAATTATCAGGGATGAAGGCACTCACTTCGACAATAAATTAATTGCCAAGGTGTTGCAAAGAAATGGGATGCATCATAAAATTACCTAAACATATCATCTCCAAACCAATTGGAAAATTGAGGTTTCAAATCATGAGATCAAGTAGATACTTGAGAAGGTGGTCATCCCTACATGAAAAGATTGGTCGCCAAAAGTGGATGAGGCAATGTGAGCTTATCGCACGACATTTAAAATGCCGTTTGGAATGTCTCCATCCAAGTTATTCTACGACAAGGAATGCCATTTGCCCATGGAATTAGAGCACAAGGTGTACTGGGCCATCAAGAAACTAAACATGGATGCACAACTTGTTGGAGAAAAGAGATTGTTGGAATTAAACGAGATAGACTAATTTAGAGCTCGGGTGTATGAAAATGTTCTCCTTTACAAAGAAAAGACAAAAAGATGTCATGACAGAAAAAATTTGCCAAGACAATATTTTCCAGGACAACAAGCGTTGCTCTATAATTCAAGACTAAAGTCATTTTCAGGTAAGTTGAAGTCCAGATGGTCAGGACCATTCAGAGTACATCAAGTGCATAGCCATGGCTCGATCTAAATATCAAATTTGGATGATGGGACTACTTTCAAAGTGAATGGTCAAAGACAAAAAGGGTACAATGGAGTACTAATCCTACGAGATAAAGTTGTGTCGCTACTTCACGACGCCCAAGAGTTTGCTCATGTTTCCTTAACAAATTTTGTTGCCTAGGCAACATAATTTGCACTCTGTACATAAATAATTTTTTCTTACTTTATTTTGCACGAGTTGTTTATTTCAATTTTATTTCTAGTTTTGTTTATATTGGTGATATGATGACATGTGGTAGCTTAGGGTTGAATCTCATACATGGAAAGAGGCAAATCCTGATAATTTAACTGGTAGAACTTTTGAGAGGGAAAGTTTATTTCCTTCGTTATTTTATTCCCTTTTATTCTATTATTTTTTCATTAATAACTATATCCCCTTTTTTTTACCCTCAATAAACCACCCACATTCTTAAAAACACGTCTACTTTACTCTCTCTCACCATCCTCTTTTACTTACTTTCATCTTTATCTTTTATTTTCTCCCATTTTTCATCAAAACCCTCCATAGAAACCAACAAAATCTTTGCTATCTCCATAAAATATGTTATCACGAGAACGATGGCTCGCTCTAAGCCAATTCCAGGTGCGTCCTCTTCGTTTGCTGTGGCTACACGCTTTCAGGGCTTCCATAGTGCTGAGGAAGAGACAAGATTTAAGGTATTGCAAAAACACTAAGTTTATTTGGAGGATGGTTTTGTCTTCCCTACAACTGTAGAAGACCATTCAGGCCAGAAGTGATGGATGTTGTCCGGAAACATAAATGGAAAAAGTTCATTCGGTATCCAAAGGGGGTGGCACCAATGATAGTCTTGGAGTTTTATGCACATCTGGGAGACCAGTCCCAATACTCTGTGTATGTGCGAGGAAAGTTCATCCGTTTCACTCCCTCAGCCATCAATAGATATTTCAAGCTTGACAAAGTCAAAAATCAACATAAGAAATTTCTTACCAAGGCAGATTATGAGACATACAATAGTGTGCTGGAGGATTTATATTTTGGTTGGGTGAAGTTTGAAGTGAACTCCCCCAATCTAAAGTGTGTGGATCACCGAGCCCTTAAACCGGTCACAAAATTATGGAACCACTTTTTTAAAGTGCAAACTAATGCCCACATCGCACAACACCAAAGTGTTGCTTCAAAAGTTTATGTTTATATATTCCATTATCTACAGGTTCTCAATCGATGTGGGCGAGATTATCTTCGAGCAGGTCCACAAATGTGCAAAGCGCGCCAGAGGTAATTTGGTTTTTCCTAATTTAATAACCACTTTATACAGGAAGAAAAAGTCTCTGAGGAACCTTTGGAGGAGTTTATCAAATCAAAGGAGGGAATCACCGGAAAAAAGGTGCCAGAGCTGATGAAATTTGATGATAATGCCCCGACTGAAGGGTTAGAACGAGGTACCAAATCGGTAGCCACGATACGAATGGAGGTTGTGGTCACCAACACTGGGGAGACATAGAAATGCTTAAAATGTTTGGAGGGTAACATGCAAACCTTCTTCAATTATGTCAAGGCCTGAGGTTCACAACTGAATGCGTTCTTCAAGGAACTGCTACTAATTACCCTTGAAGACATGTTGTCGTTCCCTGAAGAACTATTACAAATATCAGCACCTATAGACGGTAACATATTTTTTGCCTCGGCACCAAACGTTTCGCCTGGTTCCCCAGTTGATGTCACCCCTTTCGTCACGCACGTCTCTCCCATCCATGCAGAATGATAGGGCCATACTGATTAGTACATCAGCTCGTCCTCTTCATCTTCTATGCATATGCAGGAAATCCCACTTGAATTTTTCGAAGCCAAAGATTTTAACCCAGATACCGATGTTGTTGAACCAGTTACAAAGCAGTCTAGCCCTATTCCAGCCACTAAACATCCACAAGATCTCAACACTAAACCAGTAATCAACCTTGAAGGTAGCCAGCCCCAAAATATTCCTACTAGGACCTCCCCTACCGAGGAGATAACCCTACCACACAGTCCCCCACCCGATGTCACCTCAAGCACACAACAGACCGTATTGTTATTCTATCTCCTTTATCGATTCACTTAGAGGATGTAGGATCAGCCAGCCCCTTCCTTTTAAGGGTTTTAGAATCTACGTGTCTAGCCGAACCTTTCCCCATAATAAGGTACCGTCTTTTATTTGCATTTTAGAATAATTTATCATTCATTAGATTTCATGCATTGAGGACAATGTATCCCTCAAGTTTGGGGGAGGTATTATGTCTCTCACTTAGTTGCGTTTGATAATGATTGGTTGATTTTTTTGTCATGGCACGAATATATTAGGATAGTTGTTTGAATAAGTTGAGGATGCCCGATGATGAAAGCAAATTCCTATTGCCTAGGCCATAATATTTTCTTTATGATTGTTGAAAGATAAAGCATACCCTAAGACTTGATACTTTGTGATCTTCTTAAAACGATTGTATGTTTTCTCTGCTTAAGGTGCTTAGAAATTTTTTAATAAAGAACTTTTTGGGCTTCGTGACATTAAACGATTAAAAAGATTAAGTTAAACTCCTTAATGTTTTGAATTATGTTGAATTGAAAATATATGCCTCGACATAACTATAGACGGACATTCTTTTATGCGATGGCATGACCTGGAAAACTCCTTAAATAAATGGTAGCCTCAACATATAAGTGAATGAAAGCAGTCACGGGATGAATCTTCATGACTAGCTCGGGGGTGGAATGTATACTCCCGTTCACCTAGAGTGTCAGATGGTAGGTGTGATGAACTGACTCCCCTTGAGCAGTTCTAAAGGAAAAAATAAATATAGATGATGAATAATACAACACAAAGTTTGA